CTATTGGGAGGGCACTGGGAAAAACTGTTAATAAGACATCATTTATCTGCTGCTTTCCATTTTGGAATCCTTTATTCCATTGTGGCGATCTCCCCTCTACTCATCTGCCCATATCTCATGGATCTGTTCCCATCTCATGAATCAGTTCCCATAGCAACTTGGTCAAGCTGGCTGTGTTTTCACAAGGGTTTCTGGAATATGAAAATTAGGAGGCATCACAGAAGAATGATCTAATAGTAGAATTTCAGGTACTGTTCATATCTGAGGGAAAAGATAGGAATCTTCCACAATATCAGCCATGTAGCCTGTTTTAAGACTCACTTTCAAGATCCCCTGATGCTTGTTCATATCAATTCTATCTATTAGGAGGCAGGTTTTTAGAGTCAGGAACACTTTCCTGGCTAGGCGTGGTGGCTCATGCCTATAATCTCAGCAATTTGGGAGGCTGAGGTGAGTAGATTATTGAGGCCAGGAGTTTGAGACCAACCTGGCCCACATGGTGAAACCCCATCTCTGCAAAAATACAAACATTAGCCAGGCATGGCGGCTTGTGCTTGAAATCCCAGCTACTTTGGACGCTGAGGCAGGAGAATCATTTGAACCTAGGAGGCAGAGGTAGCAGTGAGCCAAGATCACACCACTGCACTCCAGTGTAGGTACCAGAGAAATACTCGATCTCCAAACAGAAAAACACTCTCCTGTGAAAAAGTTAATATCATTCATTAAAGAAGTATTTATTGAATAACCCCCAAGTACATAGTCTTCTCTCAGTATGATTAACTGTAATTAAAAAATAAAAAGTATCATAGAAAATACAAAGCACCATGGAAGTTTAGATACGGGGGAACACTTCTACATAAAGCAGTTAGTTTCCAACATTTAATTTGTTAAGTCCTCTGCACTGATCCCCACCACCTACCCGCTGCATGATCAATTCCTTATTTCACAGTTCTACCCATCTACCAATCATAGGTGGCCAGGAGCATTGAAATGGAGTTACTACGGCTGACTTTTCAGAATAAATGTGCAATCTCAGCTTTGAAATGCAGCAAGTATGAACTCTGAGTAATAGTCAAAGTTTGCTCACAGAATCTGTAACTGCAACTGTTATCTATGACATTCTTTGCGAGGCTGTGTAGCTTATTTAGTGTGATCCATATGCCAGGCGGGTTTCAAGGCCACCTGTGTTGCCAGCCGTACAGCGCACGCTACTGACATTTCTCGCATTCTCATCGACTGCTAAGCTTTTAACTGTACATTCCCTGTCTTTTCCTTCCTGTTCAGATCTAGGCAGAGGCCTGACTGGCAAAAAGGCATATTATCATCAGTGACATTTGCATTTACCAAAAGGAGGGTAAGAAAACATTTTCACTGGCAGTAAAGTAAAAGCAAATGTTTTCTTCCACTTGTTTTGAAAGTCTTTCTTAATGATTTGAGGGTGGTAGCTTTACTAGCTTTTAAACACTTTTTGGAATTGAATGGAGGGGAAGAGTCAGGCAAAAGTGCCATCACAAAATCAAGGTAGGTGAACTGCCTGAATGGAATCACTGACTATGTGTGTACTCTGTGATCATCTTTTTGTGATTCCAGGGTTGGTGAAATCCCAAGCTGTGAATGGCTTTCTTACTCAGTAATATTGGCATAGAGATGATTTTATATTTCTGTGTTTTAACACATTTACTATTAGTTCTAGACTATATTATTTGGAATCATAAGAGAGCAAAGACAATGGTTTGATATTTTTACAATAGAACGTTGTGATGGATTACATCCCTAAAAATCCCTCTTGTCTTTGGGACAGTACTCAAAACATAAAGAGGGCTTGACAATTTCTGCAAAATAGAATAAGCTAACAGAGCACAAGAGGGCTGTGAGTAGTTTTCTCCTATTCTTTTCCAAGTATCTTGGTGGCCAGCTCTGCTGTAACCACATCAGCCTTAAGACAGAGCTGGATGAGAAGCCTCAGCTCCAGGCATTATCCTGATAGAGCCAACAACATCTTGTGGAAGTTTTTCAAGGCAGATTCACTTAAATCAAAGGTCAGCAAACTACAGATTGCAGGACCAAATATGGGTTATTTTCTGTTTTTATGAATACAGCTTACTGGCACACAATCCTATCTGTTTACAGACTCTCTCTGGCTGCTTTTCTGTTACAGCATCAGAGTTGAATAGTTGCTGAGTAGTTGCAACGGATCTCATACGGCCTAAACTCTTCTGTCTGATCCTTTATAGAAAAAATAGGTTTGCTAGCCCTTAGTTTAAATCATTTTCGCTCCATAATTTGACTGCTTTTTTGAGAATAAAGCTGGAGATTAAAGAGAAAGGTAGAGAATGACACTCAGTGAAACTGGTATGTTGACTATATAAGATTTTCATTTATTTAATATTATTATTGTTTTGAATCAGGGTCTTGTTCTGTCACCTAGGCTGGAGGGCAGTGGTGCAATCATAGCTCACTGCAGTCTCAAACTCCTTGGCTCAAGCAATCTTCCTGGCTCAGCATCCCAAATAGCTGGGACAAGAGGCATACACAGCCATGCCTGGCTAATTTGTTAATTCTTTGTAGATATAGGGTTCTCCCTAAGTGCAAGCTGGCCTTGAACTTGTGGCCTGAAGCAATACTTCCACCTTGGCCTCCTATAGTGTTGGATTATAGGTATGAGCCTGACTATGTAAGATTTAAAGACAGAAGTAGGTTCCACGTATTTGTGCTATTCTAATTTGCTATTAATTGTGGAAATGTCCAGGGGAAAAATTATCATTTATTAGGAATCCACATATTCTGGATACTGTGTTAGAAATTTTCCATGAAATACATTGTATGAATTATGTCAAAAAAAAAAAATCTTTCTGGAGATGAGATCTTAGAGAAAAACAAAAACAAGTAAACCAACATGGACAGGAGCACTCAGGTTTTATGGACCCAGACACAGAAGCAGGCAGGTGGCTCCAGGATAGTCACAGACTGCTCATTAGTGCCCAGATACAAAAGGTTGTTAAACTTAGTCTCCCAGTATGAAATGCATTTTCCCTACTGTGCAAGGTCAGACACTGATGACTTTGGAGGTACTCCGTGTAGTTCTCTTATGTGTACTATAAATGGAGAATAAAAGGTAATAAGGCAGGAACATACATACGCTCATTCAGCAAATTAATGACAGCATCTATGGGCACACAGGTATTCTGTGACAATTTTTTAAAATGGTAACTTAAAAAATCATAAACTTTTATAGCCAGCATGAATTAGACTTAACATAGTTCAGATTCAACTGCATATTTAGAAAAAGAAACACAGGGATAGTAAGTGACTCATTAGGCAGACTAGTATTGGTAGCAGAACCACGGCTGCCATGTAGATCTTCTGAGTCCCTGTTCACTGTTCTTTTTTAACCACATTATGTTTTCTAGTTTCGTTTTTCATTTTTGTATCCATGTTGATCAGAAAGGGAACTTGACACAGTCATGGTGTTCATTGATTATGTATATACAAGACAACTCATCTTTTGTCAAAGTTGCTGGGAAATATTCAACCTAATTTTTTTCCCCTGTACATTCACACAGTTTTGTTTCTTTCATTTTCAATATATGCCTTTTCAAACATGTGTCTATTCTTTTCTGGCTTGCCTGTCTCTGTCAATTCAGTTTTCTCTTGCAGCAATGCCTCTGTCTAGACTTTCCTCTCTGACTGTGACTGATTTCTAGTTGTGCCCTTCGTTCTTGGCTTCTGGATCCCTTTTGAAACAGACAGTAGCACTCCATTCCTTCTTGGCAGACATCTACCCTCCCTTTCAGAGAAGAAAGAGTCAGGTAGGATGTCTGTGAAAATAAAGAACAAAAAATGAAAATGACAGAGCAAGTCGAACAGTAAGAAAATAAGGCTTTGCCTCAAAGGAAAAAAATAGTACCAAAGGAAAGGGAAATAAAATGTGTTTTCTATTCATTTTGGGGCATGCAGTGGGTTTAGAGGGAGAGGAGATGTTGTTTTTCAGTGCAGGGAGGCTAGGTATCTCTCAAGCTGAGCCCAAACTCGCCTGCCCATCAGTGTTGCCCTAGAGAGCATCACCCCTGCCTGTCTCATCTAAAGTAATAAAGCTCATTAGAGATCTCCCTATTCTACTCTCAACTCAACTACAAATGTTAGTGCAGTGATGAGCAGTGTCCGTTTTAGCAGCATGCCCATACACAGTGCCTAGGCAAGCTTCAGCTTATTTCACATCTTCTGGCTTCCGACTCAAAAGTTATCCTCAAACTTCCTTTTTTCTATTCAGGCAACTGACTTTGTAGGTTGAGCATGTCCTCACAAGGGTTAAAGCATGCTTAAGGTTACCTGATAGTAGAGAGGAGATGTGAAAAATTTGCTTGTTTCTGTATCACCAGCTTGAGAAAGTGTTCTGTTCACTCACAGTCTCTAAGATAACATAATCTAAGTTCCCATTTGGGTGACTCAATTTGCAAAACTAGAGATGGTACATGAACCAAAGCAGGGCTTTTTTATAATGTTGCCAAAGGCAAAATGGGGTAACAGGAAATGTCACACAAGGTGTTTTTTGTTTTGTTTTTTTGAGACAGGGTCTTACTCTGTTGCCCAGGCTGGAGTGCAGTGGTGCAATCTTGGCTCAAGTGATCCTCCCTCCTCAGCCTCCCAGGTAGCTGGGACTATAGGTGCACAGCACCACTCCCAGCTAATTATTTATGCTTTTTTTAAAGATGGGGTCTCACCATGTTGCCCAGGCTGGTCTCAAATTTCTAGCCTCAAGCCATCTGCCTCCCGCAGCCTCCCGAAGTGCTGGGATTTCAGGCATGACCCACTATGCATGGCTGACTGTCAAATTCTTGATCTTTTCTCACTTACTTAGTGGGAACACACATGAAATATGGCCAGAGGAATGCATAAAAATATTAGGTTTCAGAAACTACATGGTTACAGTTACACTTAGCCCACTTTATGTTTCCAAGTTCTCTTAGTAATATCATCCTCCAGAAGTTGCCCCCAATTACCTGTTGATGCTGTTCTTCTGTGCTAACATCTGCCAGTCCTTGCCTTTGGCATTGGGGGTATCAAATGTAGCACAAATCCGCTGTCTGATGGAGTAGGGAATTTTGAAGGCTTTGGGGCCAGTCTGTGCAGGAAAAGTGCTGTCCTCTTGTGCAAAGAAAGTGATGGCTTCTCGTTCACTCTATAAACAAAATAAGGAACACATGATCAGATCCATCTGAAAGCAGTCCTGATTAACACTTTTGTTTTTTAAGAAAATCTGAGTTAATACACATGCACAAAATGCTTGCCTGTTGTGACGGACTCTAAAATACATTGATAAGTTCCTCTTTCTTCTAAGATAGTAAAGAACTTCTCTAGTAGCCTAATAAATTGTGTACTGGAAATTTACAACAGCCTCTTCCACTTGGGGGAGTCACAATAACCAGCTTCCACCATTAAAAGAGCTGTCAGGTGACAGCAGAATTAGACTCTCTTTTTTTTTTTTTCCTGCTCTCAGGGCTAGATCTAGATTCAGCTTCTAGATACCAAATGACAGATTTCAGTTCAGAGTAAGGAATGGCCCTCTGATAGTCATAACTGACCAATGATGAACAGGCTGATTAAAGGAGCTGACTAGGAAATGCCTTGTATGATTGTATGCCTACAAAGGTATGATTGTATGTTGATTACCTTAATTGTGTTTTTTATCCTCTAGTCCTAAAGTTGTGTGATTTTATAATAAATACCTTTATTTCAAAATTAAAATTATTTCAGAATTAAGTTGCTTTGGTATAACAGAGCCAGCCTTCAGTCAGAGTAACATATAGCTAGCTTGTATAGTGGTATGATAAGGAAGGCTCCTGCCTGCTGCCTGCCTACCTGCTTCTGGTTTAAAGCTGTCCAGTAAGAATTTGTCACTTCAGTACTAATCCTTATCTCCAACATGAAACTCCACAGAAATGTGCCAGGCTGCACTGGTTGCTAATAAGTTTAAGTGGACTAACGAAATGTTAAGGAATGAAAATATCTGACTGAATCACTTCCATGATCATAAGACAAAAGGACTTTGCTGATGTAATTCGTACTCCTAATCAATTGACTCTGAATCAATTGAGAGATTTTTCTGGGTGGGCCTGACCTAATCAGCTGGTCCTCAAATGAGATAGGAGATAGCTCTTGGTGTCCAGAGGCACCTTTTCTCCTGGCCTAGAGGAAAGCAAATAGCCACTTTGTGAAGTTCCTATAGAGGGGGCCATGTGTCTAGGACCTGTGGGTGGCTTCTGGGAGCAGAGAGTGACCTCTGGCCAACAGCTAGCAAGAAAATGGAGACCTTAGTGCTAAAGCTATAAGGAACAAAGTGGTGCCAACAACCTGAATAAACTTGGAAAAGGACTCTGAGCTCCAGGCGAGGACATGCCCTGGCCAACACTTCGGTTTATAATAAATAAGAGTTGTTTTGTGCTTCTAAATTAGTGGTAGTTTGTTACACAGCAAAAGAAAACTAATCCAAGGGGCAATTAAAGCATCAGATCTGGGATTGGGTTAAGGGACTAGTTAGAATTATTTAAACTCCAAGAAGCTCTCCCTTGCCTTAAAACGTTGCCTGTTGTGCCCTCCAAGTCAATACACGCCCTTCCTGCCCTCCCCGAAATCCTGCCCTAATGCCTCTTCCAATTATTAAATATATTCCTAATGTGGGCACCACAGCCATGGTGGCTGTTTTCAGCTGGCAGCCAGGCTCACATAAGTATAAACAATCAGACTTGGTAGGTTGCAAATAGAGTTTCTTAAATATGTTAATCGAGAAAACTGGTTGACCCAGAAATTCCATTAATGGTTAATAATGATTTTTCTCTTTCTGTAACTATTTAACACAGTTGCATTTTAAGGGCTCTGTTTTGGGAACAAAATGCCTTAATCCACCAGTTCCAAAAGGGTGTCTCAGAAGAGATCCCGAGAAATGGCAGTCTCACGGTCACACAGGTGAGAACTGCTGAATATCACATGCTTTTCTTAGAACCTCAAAGTACATGTTATCATATTAACAGATTCTTCTTACTGGTTTTAGTTATGTTCCTGGAATATTATGAAACAACGTTCGTCAAAACTATTCTAGTACTTGAGGTTGTCATAGTATAACATAAACAAACATCGTTTTTAGAACCAGAAAGACCTCACTTTGGAGTAAAACTCAACACTTCCTGGTTCAGTGACCTTGGATGCTACCTTATGTATCTCAGCCCCAATTTCCTAATCAGTTATTTTGCATTTGTATAGACTCCACAGAGGTTATGAAACCTGGAAAAATTCATCCAAGTGGTTATCGACATAGGTGAAACTAGAATTCTGACATCCTAACAACTATAACAGTGCTTATTTCAACATACCACCCTGTTTCAAGACAAGTGCCAAGAAACCTACAGTGCTGGGTGGTTAAGGAAAACGTTTTCTGAGTACAGTAGGAAATACTTCACGGGGAAGGCATTTGAGTTGGCCTGAAAGATACATAGGCATTAAATGAACAGAAATTAGGTGGATAGGTGGTTATTTCAGGCAGAGTGGACAATTCTGTTCTGATATATTGAATGGTTATAAAATGAACCAATTCGGCTTCTTACTGCTTAAAATAGGTTACAAGAGACATCATTTTTATCATGGTTTGTAAAATTTCCTCTAGCCTCTAAAAATGCAAATCAAATAGGAATAGTATCCTTGCATATTTTCTGACTTAAAGCTATGATAGAAACTAGAAGGAAATTTTCTATTCTGTGCAAGTTATCATGGTAGCTGTCATCATAAAATGACACAAAAGGGTCTTAATGCCAAAGACATGGCTTATCAGTGAAACTGAAAACACTGAAGTGTCCTTGCTGAAGGATCCCAAGAGACAGAATTGGCCTCTGAAAGCCCTCATGGTACCCATAAATTGTTGACCAAGCTCTCTCTTCACTGTGGGCAGAAGAAAAACCATCTTGATGCATGGTATCTTCAGAAAAAGCTGAACAAGGTGGTCTTATTTGAAGGTGAATAAAGTATTAGACTGAGTCTAAAAATAAGTAATTTTTCAATTTACTACATGTTAATAAGTGGGTCCCCATTTCCCTCTTAAAGTTTTCAAATTTAAATATTTTCCATGCATAATGATGATACTTTATGTAACATTTATGATGTATTCTAAAGGACATCTGGGCCAAGTAATAAGAATCCTGTAGATACATCACATTTTCTGATTGTTTAAATTAAATATGCAGAGGAACAGTAGATTTTCATGCTCTGCACATCTGAGATAAGCAGATGTAAGCTGGTAAGCTAAGGGACTTGTAAATCAATGAGAAATTCCAACTATTCTGTCTATTGTAACAGACAAATTATCCCCCAACTTCCAACACTTTTGGAAAAAAGATAAGAGAAATGCTTGAAGGGAAAATTGTAACATGCAAGATTCCTTTAAGTTGTTTATACTAAAAAAATGCATTAATAATGTTACTTTAATAAGGAATGATGAAATAAATTACTTGGGAATTTTTCCCTTCTCTTCAATATTTGCAAAACCGTTTTATTCCAGTCTATAATTTTAGGCTGTTGATACTGTTGCTTTATTGGGATATTGATTGGCAATAATCATTATGTAATTCCATAGGGTTAAATTTAAGAGGAAAAACTTGCTTCTAAAGACTGATACAATAATGACCACTCTAAAGAAAACAAAAAAGATACATTATCTTGGTCACAAAAATAACTTTTAAATATGAAGGTGATATGAAGGACTGGGTTTATTTGAAAAATCACTTAGATAAGAGAGATGAAGAGATATGTCAGGGATCAGGCTGAACATGATGGATCAAATGCCTTCGATGAGGATGATTACTGCCTTGACTTAAATATTTGAAGCAGTATTTAAGATAGATATCTTACTGCTATTGATATATAAAATCAGTATTTCAGATCTAAAGTATTTTATATATCTTAAATCTTGATCTTATATATATTATAAATGTTAATTTGATGAATTTATCTTACTAACATATTAAACCACCTAAATGTAGTCTTTTTCTGCCTAGGGGACATGAAGTATAATGCGCTTTAAAAGTCGGTCTGTTATTCCTAACTCACTAATAGCGACCTGTGTCTAGAGTTCTAGAATGTATCCTGCACCTCCTCAGGTCGTCCCAATATCTCAGCATTTTCTGCATCTTCACTTTTGCTGAAACCATTTACCAAAAAATTAAGTCATTTTTAGGAAAAAGAAGACAGGTTTCTTTTTCTTTTCTTTTTTTTTTTTTAAGATAGAGTCTTGCTCTGTCACACAGGCTAGAGTGCAGTGGCATGATCTTGGCTCACTGCATGGTCCCAATCTCCTGACCTCGTGATTTGCCCACCTCAGCCTCCCAAAGTGCTGGGATTACAGGCATGAGCCACTGTGCCCAGCCAAGAGGGCAATTTTTATTCATCAGATGTATCACCAGATGCATGTCTTTCCTGTGAGTCAGACAATCCCAGGATTAAATGGGTTTGAGCAATCATTCAACCAAGACATCCATTTGTTTGCAGAGCTATGTGTAGGATCTCTATTATAGAATGAACAGTTGTAGTTCATCACACAGATGGTTACATCCAATTCTTTCTTTTGAAGAAAGAACTTCCAATTTTCATATATTTTCAGGTACTTGAAATCATCACTTGGTGCTATGATGTTTGTCACTAGTACCTGAGCCCCCAAAGAGAAGTCATATTATGAACAAGGCCCACAGTTAAAGCTAATCCATAAGATGGCCTTGATTGGGATCAAGGAGTAGTATAGCGGGGTAGTCAGACTTTGATCCTGAAGTTAGGTCTCTGAGTTGGGTACTGTGGCTCCACTTACTTCCTTAAGAGTTCCATGATCTTTGATCTTGGACAAGAAAGTTGATGCCTTTGAGACTTTTATAGCAGGTAAAATTGTGATAATACTCATACTTAACCCACAGAGCTTTGATGGTTGAATGACAAATATGAAAGCAAATGAAATGATAGCTGAAATATAGTGGCTTACCGAAGTTATTAGTCACCTTCTGACATAAAAAATGAGAGCAAATTAGACTTGTCTAAGGAATACAGTTTATCACAAAGTGAAGAAGACAACCTGGGCCAAATTTTGCAGCAATGCTTGAAGCAATTAATAAAGTGATCCTTAAAAGGATCAAAGGGTTAATAAAGCCTCCAAAATGTAGCAGCCCTCAAACTGGATGACTATAGTCTAACAATAAATATTGAATTATTATTCTGATACTTGCCTCTCATTATCAAGAGATGTTATCTTCTGCAAGGCATTTCTAAGTGACTGTAAACTAGTAAAGCATTAGAAAAGAAATTGGAGAATAAACAATAAGGTTGTATTTATTAGCTAATTTTCCTTTCAAGCACTTTAAGAATTTATTAAACAGGGAGCAAAAATACTTGTCACATCCTGCAATAGCACACGTTGATCACTAATATCTACATGCATTCACAAACAAAAACCTTTAAACCTGAACTCTTTTCTTGGCCTGTTAATAGATATCTAGGGCAATTTGGATGAGAGAGGTCTTTTATGTGATGCCTTTTCATATCTACCTTCTGAATGCCAGCTCTTCTCAGATTTTCTTTTTATTTTTAAAACCTTCCTAGAATTTTTATTTTACTTTGAAATGTATCATGTGAAAAATACCATCACTGTTCAAGAAAGAGCCCCTAAAAATATCCTACCCCAGGTTTCCAGATCTACCTTCTCCATCAAAACTACTTGAGCACATAATGCTAACTGGCAATAATGAATGCAAATAGTGCATAAACATGTCAATTAAGACAGCTATCAATTTTAAGGCACAATCCTTTGGAAAGCCATCTACTTTTCAGAAAAACTATTTGGGGAATTAGCAATACTCATTTTGCATAAACAATGAATTCAAATGAGAATAGAGAGAAGGAAAATTTATAGCTGTGGAGCATTATTCCAAGAAAAAACCCTGAAATTGAATTACATGTATATAAATGTGTTCAATCTTCTGCCAAGCCTAAATTTATAAATATATATGTTTATATTAATAAATGCATATATGTATGTATATGCATATATTTATAAGTGAGCAAAATATGTATGTTTTCCTGCACTAGCCTGTAATGACCTGGAAACTGCCAAACAAAAGCATCACAATCCCTCTGCTAATCTTTCCCTCTATCCCATTCAGGAAGGATGGCTATTGTCTACTTTATAAGCTTATGTTCAAACCCATGAAGTCACTTGGTGCTTTAGCACAAATTAGAGCCATGGTGGAAATCAGATGTCTTTTCTTCAAAAGGTTCAAGTGAATTCTCCCTTGACTGCTACTTTAACTCTACCTTTCAATACTCATCTGACCTGGTTAAAGTCCTATTTCTCTTTGCACTTGCATTTCCTTACCTTGTAGAATGAGGTCCTTCTTATATTATTGTATTGGAATGGGGTAATGGAAATGTGGATGTACAGAATTCTAAGCCTGGAGGGCATGAGAAACAGTAAGACAGGGAGTCCAGTCACTGGAGATAAAATAACACATATAGGGCAACTGACTTCTGGAAAACTAGTCAGAACCAGTAGAAAAACAGTCTGAGGGTAGCTTTGTGCCTCTATGTGGCATGTGTCTCAACTGTACCATCTGGCTTCAGTCTATAATGAATCTCAGCTGATAATCCAAGCCTGCTGTGGACTGAGGCTTCTTGCTATTTTGTGTATCAAAAGCCTGGTACCAGTTCCTTCCTCAAAGTTACCTTCTTTAGTTCAGTCCTTGGCCTGAAACAAGGTTTACTTTCCCTTATCAGTAATGAAGATTAAGAGTTTGTGCATTTTGAAGCTCTTTCAGAAACTGAACAGCACTGCTGGTAGGGATAGCTTTATTACTCTCATCATTCTTCAGAAAGAGGGTCAAATGAACTGTAGATGAAGGACTCACCTCTAGGATTGATGTCTGCACTTGGAGGATCTGTTCATGGCCTTTGAGCTGCCGAATGCAGATTTTGCAGGACAGCTGTGTAGTAGTGGGCGTGTAACGCTCCAGGGAGAAGGCACAGTGCAGGGGCTGCCGGTTACTGCACCACACACGGGAGAACGGAACTTCCTGCAGGGGAGAGGGAGAGAAGGGAGGTATGGTGTGCAGAGCCTGGCTGAGATGAATTAGAACAAGAGAGACTTAAAGCAATGATGATGATGATGATGACGACGATCTCAGCGGAGATAATTGCCTAGGCAACTTTGGTGGAATTGTTGTAGAAATAACGTTTCAGCAAATGCCAAGCAGCACAAAAGTAATTAATATCAATTCCAAATAACATTTGAATTCCAAAATCACACTGCAGGAGCTCAGATTTCACTTGGTGACACACAATTAGAAAGAATGCCATCAAAAATTATCATTTTGCTTTCCCCACTTGGAAAATATTTTCCTTTGGAAGACGCCTATAGGCCATGCTTCTACTTTAGTCTAGGGTAGGATGCTATCTTTTCACTTAGGTAAAAATTATGCTAAGGAACTGATTGGCCAAAACTTAATCCCATATCACAAACTCATGCAGAATTGTGAGAACACAATATTGCTAATGTATCCAACATAAAAATTAATACCTAGTACAAAATCACACACATATACACACAGCCAAGGAGAAAGAGAGAGGGAGGAAGGAGGGGAGAGAGACAGTGGCAGAGGGTGGGGAGAAAGACAGATAAACACATATACAGGGTCATCCCACAGTGATCTAGTTTGTCAATTCTTCATTTGCTCAATTTGTCCATTCAACTGTAATGTATAAAGGGCCTGCTAATGACCACTATACTAGGTAAACAATAAGAAACAATAACAGATTCAGTTCCCCACTCTCAAGGGACTTACTGACAATTAAAAGGCAAAAGTAACTTTTAGTCAATGAGAAGAGAACTTATAAAATCTGTAATTACTCATTTTTCCTAGTATTAGCCAGTGCTTGCCACCAGACCGTGTCTATAAAGTGAAGTAGATGTTAGTCACTGAAATTTTTTCATGTACTAAAAAGTCTCTCTCCTTTCTATTCAAATGTGGCTTGGCCCTTGGCAATGACCACATATGCCTCTAATAATCCTCACGCTCACCTTTTCCTTTATTTCCCACCTTATTATTTGCTCCTTTACCTGTTGCTAAAATAGAGTTTTCTGTAATACTAGAACTGAAAAGTGGCAAGACAGGTATCAAGTCTGGAAGTCTGGAGCCCTGAACTATGACTGGTGATGAAGCCAGTACATGTCATGAGACTGAAGAGCATGATTAAAATGATCTGTTCCCTTAGAGAAGCTATGAGTTACCTAGTTATTCCTGAGCCCTTATGTGGACACTTGTTTAGATACCTTGTTTCCTAATTTTCTCTATAGAAATCTTCAGATTTTTATTTTGGATACTTTCTGGTGGATTCAGGCAGGAGGGATGGATGGACTTTAGATTGCTGTGAACTTGAAGAGAGGAGTGCTAGCTCTAAGGGGATAGGACATAACAAAAGCAAATATTCTACCATGCATCTCAGCAATAAATGTAAGAATTTTCTGGGTTGTTTTGTTTATTCTTAATCCTGAACCAAAGGAAAAGTGGAATCTCAAGAAGGATACAGAGAAGGTCTGTAGGTGGGAAACTATCTAGCATTTCATGGACTTCATTCCTGTGCCTGATGTGGGCTGTTAGTATGAAACTCGAAGCTTTGCCATTCTCTATTCTTCCCCATGTGGCAGGGGCTAGAAGCCTCCAAACTGCATTTTATAGGCTCCCTTGCTGGAAAAAGTTCACATTTCCATCCTGCCCATAAGAGGTACTCACGCTAGATTTGGAAGGGAGAGGAAGTGCAGAGACCATCACTGCCCCGCTAACAGGCAGACCCGAAGGCTTCTATTGACAGCCCAAGAAAGGTGTGCAGGGGCTCCTGGATATTCCCTGGAGAATCCACTGCTTCAGTGCTGGTGTACTTTCCTGATATTCCTGACCTGACTGGTTTTCTAACATCACTGGTGGCTTTCTGTCACCTTGGCTCCTCACAGTGGTTTTGTAATCACATGAATCACTTAAATTTCCTCTCAGTTTGAAATGTCTTGAGTGCCTTCTGTTTTCTTGACTAAAACAATTCTTGATTTGAAAATGTTATCTTAGAAACTGATGTGAGTTGGGAAACCCTTAAAGGGGCCAGTAGAGAGCTCCAGAGGGAGGCTATTGTCTAGGGAAAATGCTGGAAGATGCACCAAGCTAAGGATCACTAAGGACGCTTTTGGTTGGAGGAAAACTTGGTTGTACCATCAGCTGATAACACATGTCCATTTAATGATATCACTTTCCCACTTTCCTCTAATATGAAAAGGTTTTACTTATGATCTCTTTTCTCCTGTGGTAGATCCTGCAGCAGAGGGCGTTTCTGATTGGTGGGGCCTCCTGGCAATGCCTATAGGAAGTCATTCTCTCTAAAATACTCCAAAATGACTTCACTTGTACCATATGTACTTACAAGTTCTGCCATTTATCCTTGTTATCTAATCTGATTCTCTTCCTAATTCTCTTGAGCCTCGTTCCACTTTATAAACCATGGGCAGTCCTTCCTCCACGTCTCAGTCTCCTACCCTTCTCTCTCTGCCTACAGTACTCTTCAAGATCCCATATGCTCACACTTGCCCCAACTGCCATCTCTCTATGGAGTACTCCAAAAACTTCATCTCTGGTATTTATTTCATTATTATCAATCCTTGGTATGATACTCTTAAGCACTACAAATAATCTTGTTTTGTCTTTACTTCTCTGGTAAATTTAACTTTTGGAAACTGATTGCCATCATCTCTCTCCCATTGTTACTCTCCTCTAATATTCTGGTTGACGTTACACTTCCATTATGGCTAACTGTAGTTACCTATTCCCAGTCTTCCTGCCTTCAAGCTCTACTAGATAGAGCAAATGAGGGGGTTGGAGCTTAATTGGAGAGGCAAACAGAAGGCAGTTGATTGGAATTATTCAGGAAATAGCACTATGGTCCCTTTTTTACCTCTAATGATGGGGGCTAGGCATTGATGTGACCAGGTCACCTAGGAACTTTGCATTTCTTACTTGAGTCTTTTGCTTGGGGGATCACAATGGTCCTTTGATGCCTGCTCTGTGAAACTCTATCTCCTGCCTGGCCTTCAAAAGCTTCTACCATCTCTTGCCCTGTACTTGTTTCTACATTATTTTTATTAGCCCTCAAATAAACTCTCTTCTCCAAACCAGTGAAGTTTTGTAGAGTTGCTTTGCACCATGTGCTTCAATGAAAGTAACCATAACATAGCACTCTGGGGTTCACAGATGCTTTTGCCTAAGGTAGTTTTGCCCAGCTAAGCCAAGTAGGAGATTTTTGTTTCCTAAAATTGAGATTTGGGTTATCATACTGTAATACAAGCAGTTGGACTTCAGGGCTAGACAAAGAATTGTGCTCAAGATGCAGCTCTTAAGCAAATGTATGTTTTCTGCAATTTGATTTGAATCCTTAGTACTGCTTGCCTTCTGAAAAAAAAAAGAAAAAAAAAGGCACTGACCACTCATTTAAGTGTGTCTTCTCTGGTATCATTTGCTAAGTTTCTTACCTTTTCCACTAAAAACACTGGAAGAAATATAAAGAAGTAATGCGTACTTCAGAGATAAATTTTTCCTGGCAGAAAGACATGAGAATCAGAACCAAAAACAAAAAAAAAACCAAAAAACCCTCTTCTCTCTTTCCATTCCATTGAACACAATCCAAACATATTAAAAATCTGATTTTAAGACAGTATCAAAGGAATATTTTTTATTGTTGACTTGAGTAGCAACTGCCAATAGCATTCAACAAAACATTTTAAAATAATAGAATTAGAAGCACTGTGATGAGTGTGTTTTCAGGGCAATCATCTTCACTTTCATTTATTCAAAAACAAAAACTAAAATCACCAACAAGCTTGCTGAGCTGAGAGGAATTATGTGGAAAGTGATATGGGAGGAGAAAGTGTAGCAAAGTTATGGGTGTTTAAAGAATTCCGGAAATATTTTCATTTTGACTCCTATTATAATTAGGTTCCTAGCAGATGGAGAGAATGTAAATCATATCTTAGCGGGAGACAGACACCGGGTTCTCCAAGATACACAGCATGTTGGAAAGACAGCTGCTTTTACCCTAGGGAGGTGACAACTTGACTTTGTATTTTGTTGGCTTTTAAAAATAAATTAATAATTTGCTGTATTATGTTTATTATGGCTTCCCTACCCCACAGCCAGCAAGGAATAAAGGAAAGTGATTTAGGAGCCCTCAGGTCCCAGCAAGGAATAAAAGGAACCAATTTAGGTGCTCTCAGGTCCCAGTAACCTATTGAAAGTAGAATTATTTACCTCCCAGAGGAGGGTCGCTAATTCTACAGATGGGAAAAGTACATAACCTAATCGTGGTAGAGTCTTAGGTACTGACAAGAAAATGGGGAATAATGAATTGTTTACTTGGGAGACCAGCACTGTGGGCCTCAGGTGTGTTTGAACTAAGGTCAGTGGTTGCTACCACAGTGAGATCTCAGAAGAGCTGACATAGCCTTTCCGACTTCTCACCCAACATACCTGGCTTCAAAAGCAATGACATCCATAAACTAATCCTCCAGAACCTAAATCGACAAGATTTAAAATCTAGTTGGTCCTTCAATGTACAGGCTCTCATGGCATACCTCTGGGCCCAACCTTGAACTCACACCATTCTAAAAACATTTCTCATGCAGTTTGTTGGTGTCGGATAGGGAAAACATTATATGCACTGGGTATCTCCCCAGCTTGTACCTTTCTGGGAAATTCCACCTTTCCCAGAAGAAAACAGGAAAGTTGCCTAGTAGAGTGGGGTTTGGGTACCAATTGGTAATATGTTGACTACCCGATTCCTGAGTTGAAATTAGAGAAAGGGAGATTCACCAATTGAAGGAGAGACCTATAAATGATGTCAGGAATAGTGTGATTTTCTATCTCCACAATAGCTCTCTGGGATAGCAAGAAACAGGCCCTGTTAGTTCCTAACCACTAAGCCCTAATGAAAAGCCATTCTCTATTATCCACGCCAAGTTTGTCAGTGCACATGATGTTCTACATGAGGTTCAAGCAGGCTGAACACAAACCCTCCCCTAAGTGCTTTGCATCTAATGCCCAGAGCAAACACAGCATGGCCATTAAGCCAAGCACAATATGCATTCACACAAGCTGAGGGATTTCAATGATGATGAGGGGCAAGAAAATTGGTGGTAGGGGTGGCGAAGAGAAAGGAGGAATAGAGCGGAAAGCCATTTGGGGTAAGAAAAATGAGGTGGAAATGAAAACTCAGTGGCAAGCCTCCTGATGCAGAGAAAATTAAATTGTTTCTCAGCCTTCCAAGACTCTTTCAAATTATGCTCAATTACAAAAGGCAAATATTTATACATGGTCGCAACTTCCATGTAATCCAACCCATCCCAGCAGTAAACCTTGCTGGGTTTCCTTGAAAGCCAATGTCCTCTGGCTTTGGCTGGTCCTGTTATTCCCTCTGAGGTCAGTAAGCTCTTAGCCTCCTAAGCCTCTTCTTCCTGGGGCTCTCTTCAGTATCACTGGTGTCAGAATTATTGTTTAAGTGATGCTGCAAGATAATGGTTCTTTCATCTGATTTTTTATCTCCAAGCATTAAACTTAATAGTTCACTTTGCACTGAGTCGCTTGTGTCACATCCAGTGAAATGAGGCCCTTTTAACCTATAAAGATTAATACAGAGGAATTTGCATGACTATCAGGGCTTGTTTTAACAATACTCTGAAGTTCAATTTGGACTAGGAACTTTGAATACTGCTTACTGGGAAGCAAAGATACTTACACCTTGAATGTCATAAACAATACATTTATTCATAGAAACTTCTCTCCATCGAAAAAATGTACTGAATATTCCCCTGGCCCCCACCCCCTCAAAAATGTTCAGGGCCATGAGAGACGGTTGTGCTGCTTTGAATGCGCTAAAACTGGACAGACAGGCAATTCCTCAGGTAATAAGTCTAAAAAGTCAATAGAAAAATATTTCCCTGTCCAGTTTAAAAATCCTGAATTTTAGAAGATGGATGGTTGTTGGTTCAATTTTTTTCTAACCATCATGATGCAGTCAACGCTTCTTTGTGACTAGGCTTGTTCCCATTCTGACAAGCTGGATACCTGTGTATAGTTTTTAAAAAAATAAATGCTGCAAGGATGGAAGGTTACAAAACCCATAGGATTCTACACATTATGCTTATGGGCAAAACAAAGAAGCCTGAAAGCATTCTGTGATTCTAGATCAATGTGAGTCCACCAGAAGCTTTTCCAGAGTTAAGGAACTATCCTGTCCTTAAGCACTTGAAGCACAGATGACTGGCTTCAGAAACTATGGTAGGCTAGCTAGCTGCCTACTTTAATACATATCACTGGGAATTTTCATAGACTTCAGTGGCAGGATTGGAAGTTTAGAAGAGATCTTTTAATGCTAAGCATGTACTTGAAATAACTAAATAGGATCCAAAGAGATTCTGAGTCTTCCCAAAATGTTAAAAAAAATCTCTTTTAGGAGACATGTGTACAATAATAAGTATCTTTAGATATTTATAAAAAGGATTCTTAAGAAAGGCATGTTCTGGCCAGGTGTCGTGGCTCATGTCTGTAATCCCAGCACTTTGGGATGCTGAGGTGGGTGGATCACCTGAGGTCAGGAGTTCAAGACTAGTCTGGCCAACAATGGTGAAACCCCATCTTCAGTAAAAAATACAAACATTAGCCAGGCATGGTGGCAGGCACCTGTAATCCCAGCTACTCGGAAGGCTGAGGCAGGAGAATCACTTGAACCTGGGAGGTGGAGGTTGCAATGAGCCGAGATCGCATCATTGCACTCCAGCCTGGGCAACAGAGACTCCATCTCAAAAAAGAAAGGCATGTTTTTCCTTTGCTTTTCAATTTTTTTAATTTCTTCTTCCCATATTGCCTGATTGATTTGGAAGCAAGTACACTTCGTATAAAAAAGACAAAATCTCTTATTTTCACCTGGCTAGCCATAGCTCTCTACAATTCAAAATCATCACCTTTAAAAAGTTTCTCACTGACATCGTTTATTCATTGCTGAATATGATTAAAATGCTGTCTCATAATGAACTGATTTTAATAAAAGCAAACCAACCCACAAACCTGGCTCTATGTTGCTAAATTGGCATCTTCAACCTATATTGAGCAATGATTCCAACAGAAGAGAGGAGAAATGTCATCTCACCTAATGTGCAAGCACCTTTCTTCCCACCTGTTAGAATGCTGTGAACTTATGACAATATGTTTCACTCCCTGAGTGTAGCCAAAACTGTTACTTTTCTGTGACAGTTTTAAGATGAAATCCATCCTTTATAGAAAGAGGAAAATCAAGCTGACCCTTGCCGGGGTCTGTGACATGCTTGCTGGTTAAAGCAAAGCTGTTTCTGTTAGAAACCCGTTTGGCCAGTACCTGGCAGGCAGTGAATGGTTTAATTCTCCAGAGGAATGGGGGAATATCAAGGACAGAGATCTGAAGACTAAAGGTATTCCCTTTGAAATGCAGCAACTTTGGTTCTTCCAGGAGCTGTCCACCTTGATGCCTTTCATCTGAAACCACTTCCTATAGGAAAAGAAAAAGAAAAGAGGATCAATAATGAAACATCCCCCTAGGGATATGCACACTCACCACCTGTGTCTTCCACAAACGGACAGACAGTATAGGAGAAACATACTTCTTTACAGCTCCATAGCCCACAAAGTTCAGGACTAAGGATTAACCACTGATGAGTGATAAGTATTTGGTTAGAAAGAGACAATTGTTTTTTATTATTTGTGTTGCTTAGGCTTTGAACCACACTGTGCCTTTGTTTAGAACTCAAAGACCTCCCCTGCCCCCAAGCAAACTGTAATACTTCTGGGTTTCCACAACTGTAGGAATTTCACTCTGCTATGACCATAATCAAGGGATGCATTCATGCTTAACCTGACACATCATCATAGTTCACACTAAGTAGAAACAGCCCCCCCTCCACTCTGGTTCAATTTTTCTTCACGAATGCACGCATTATATTATATTTATTCTTTTGGCATAAAATAAATGTTCCAGTGTGCATGTATCATATTTATTTGTAGTAATGTTTGTAAAAGTTATTATACCAAAAGGCCAAGGAAAAATAAGTTGTTTATCAAGTTAGCTGTAGCTCAGGAAAACAGAAATCAAATTCCCGAGGAAACACTCCTGTGGCTTTCACTGAATATAATACAAACTTAATCCGTATACATTCTGTTGAGCAAACCATTCATTGGTTCCAAATTTGTGGTGTTGAAATCACATTGGAGAGATGATATAACAAACAGAGTAACAAAACAAATACATATTCAGTGAATTGGTAAATGACTGCGTGGGGTTGAGGCTTCCAAAGTCCATTTTTGAAATCACCATTAATTGACATTATTTCCTTGAAGAGCTAGGAGAAATTAAAAACTGAATTCCTTTGTCTTATAATCTAGATTCTAAAAAAAAAGGCTCTTAGAAAACAAATAGGTTTGTAAACACAATAAAACATACATTTCAATTATCAATGAGTAAAAACACCTTTACCAGTTATCTTAGCCGTCTCTTGTCCATAAGTAGAATGACAGTAACAAAAACATTTTTGACGAAGAAGCCATCCAAGTTTTATCCTTCAGGTACACATGAACTATTAATAGGTTGCTACTATCTTTTTCCAGGACGAAATCAGTGGCATTTTCTCCAGCTCTTTGGTGGTGTTTGTGGGTAGGGTGTTTCTTGGGGCCAAAGGTTCTGTGGTAAACTAGCTGTGATGGTAGAAATGTTCTTTCTACATCTGCATGGTCCATTATGGTACCCACTGGCTACAGTGGCTACTAAGTACCTGAAATGTGGCTAGAGTGACGAAGGAGCTGAATTTTTAAATTTAATTAAAGTTAAATATCCACATGTGATTAGTAATGACCATACTAGACAGTACAGTGCTAGGTAATTGATGATCCTGTTGACTTCAGAGTTGAACATGATGACGTGGTAGCCAATGTCTGGTGGGGGCTACAAGGAATGGAAGAAAAGAGGCACTATGGGCAGGATAGGAAATTAATTATAAATGCCTACTTGGGTGAGACATTAGGCAGTTTCTGGTCACTGGTTCCTTCTTTGAGATTTACTAAATTTCCAACAGAGTTATGTTGGAGCTGAACACTGGGTGTGTAGAAATGAAACAATCTCTGCCACCAAGAAACTTACAATATTAAGAAAGGGTCAGAACACTAGGCATTGATTCTAATACAGTATCTAACTATTACTATACATGTATGCCCAGGAGGTTAAGGAAGACAGAAGGTGCCCATGACCCAGATGGGAGGGGAGACCAGGAAAAGAATATGGGAATTATTAGAGGAGACAGTATTTGAGCCACATTTTGAAATAAATGGAGGAACTGGCCACTTGAAAAGGAAGGAGAGGACATTCCAGATGCTGAGCAGGACATTCACAGGCATGGTGGCTAGACAGAGCTGGGATGGAAGGTTGGGGTGGAAAGTGTGTGATTGGAGATGATGAAAATCTAGGGCAGAAAACAAATAATGAATTCTTACTTGCTATGCTAAGGACTTTGTATTTTATTTTTGAGTAATGTTGCTCTGGTTTTAAGGTGCATTAAAACTCTGGGTGACCTCATATAATCAAAAGAATACCAATTTCATAAACTGAAGATAGCAGCATAAAATTCTAATCACATTTCTGTGTGGTCTTGGGCAAATCATTTTCTTTAGACCTCAGTTCCTTACCTGAGTTTATTTATAGCGAAACAATATAATTAATATGGTAATATATTAACCAATATTAACCTCTTCTTGCAATTCTGGTGCAAGATTAGAAACAAGTACGAACAAGAAATGTGCTTATTAAGACCATATTAAAGCCATAATGTAACAGTAACTCTTCTAAGTGTATTTGAACTAGGCTTTCTCAAGTATACCCTTTTCCTTAAATTTAATTTTTTCTTAATGAATATGAAGTAGTCATTACCAGGAAAGGAAGTGACTTGGCCGAGATCATGTGTTACTTATTGTAGTGCTAGACTATCTTGTTATTTAGAAACTACACAGAATTGTTCTATTTAGAAGAGAATTTAAGATTTAGAGCACCAAGTACCTTATTTACAGATGAAAACATGAAGTCCCCTGAAGAAAGTTATTTGCCTAAAACCACATAGTTAATGGGAGAGCTGAGACTAGATCAGGGTAACTTGAACATGGTCCAGTGTTCTTTTCTCTCAGATTTCCCTGCCTTTTCTTATTACTATGCTTGATATGTTTTTAAAGAGTCATGTGAAGTTCAGGCTGTTATTAACTCTGTCCCATAAATAATTTTTCATCGGTGCAGGATATATGTATAAGATGACATAAGTCCATCTGTATTTGCCCTAGAATTAAATATACTTTCTAAACACAGAATGGAGAATATTAAGAATTTTAATAAGGCCAGGAGTGGTGGCTCAAGCCTGTAATCCCAGCACTTTGGGAGGTTGAGGCGGGTGGATCACAAGGTCAAGAGATCGAGACCATCCTGGTCAACATGGTGAAACCCTATCTCTGCTAAAAATACAAAAAATTAGCTGGGCATGGTGGCGCGTGCCTTTAATCCCAGCTACTCAGGAGGCTGAGGAAGGAGAATTGCCTGAACCCAGGAGGCGGAGGTTGCAGTGAGCCGAGATCACGCCATCGCACTCCAGCCTGGGTAACAAGGGTGAAACTCCATCTCAAAAAAAAAAAAAAGAATTTTAGTAATAGGTATCTGCTTATAATTATCATGGAAGGGTACCTTTTTAAGTTCTGCTTAGGGCCTCAAATTTAAATACAGCATGATTTATATTTTGCTCTTTTAGCTTACTCATTAAATCTGCACATATTGAGCCAACAATATACAATTAACATTGTCTTGTAATCTTGTACAAGATATTAAGCAATTATAGTTATTCTATAACAAAGCAATTATTAAAATGAAAAAGCCCAATAATGAACTAATAATTGTATTTATAAATTTGTAAAGGCACAATTGGCTTCAAAGTTAAATAAATAGACTCCTGAGTACTAGCTTTAAAATACTCTTCAAATACAGTGGATTGCACTTAACAGAGTTCCCTGTGTTTATTGTATTATACTAGGGCTAGGCCTTACTATTTGTAAGCGTTTCTTGGATGATTCTGATGACCAGCCAGGTATAGACAACTTTGCTTAGCTAGTTCTAAATCACTCACATGGATGAATCGTCCCAAGAGTGAGGCTTGGTATTCATTTGATTTTTCTAATCTGCCCTCTTTATGACAAGGACCTCCTGTTAAATACCACGTTCCATTGTTAAACTGATAATCTGAGTTAATGAAACTAGGAATTAGGGTCTGGACAGTTTCTTGTATATAAAATGCACCTGAAGGCTCTGGATGGTGGTTTTTCTCTGCATTCTACTCCATCATTTTACACTGGGGTTGCAAGTCATCCAGTTCTAGGAGCCGTAGCCAGGAAAAACTTGTGCTTTGTGCCTCATTGAGCTCTTTATGTTGATTTAATCTGACAAGCAGCAATATTCAGGTGTGCTTCAAGGATACTAAAATAGGCAGGCTGAATTTACATATTTATGAGACAAAACTGTTTGAACTTACACACACACACATTAGGTCGCTATGGTGTTTTCCTTTCACACACACACACACACACACACACACACACACACAATTAGGTCGCTATGGTGTTTTCCTTTAAATGCTTTACATGAACAATATTTCCCAAGATTGCATTATTGATAAACACAAGAACTACATCTGGAGGAAATCCTTTGAAATTAGATTCTAAATCCACGTTAATGCCAAGTAAGTAATGAGCACCAAGAGGTGCTACATAGGAGTTCTGGGAACAATGGCAATAAAACAACAACGAAAAACAAAAAAAAACCTAGGTTTTTTTTTTTTTTCTATTTTCATTCTTAGGAAAGCAAGGAATTAAGCAGTTACCCTATCTTATCTATGTCAAGGTTTATCTGAGGGGCGTGTGTAATAAAAGGCAAAACCAGGTCTTAAAATGTTACGGCTTTGAAGATATATCACCATTTCCCAATCTTTGGCTTGAATTTATCAAAGGAGGTCATGTCAAACACACAAAGGTAAAGTGGCAGCCCTAATTATTACAGAAAAACAAAGCAGGGAGGACGAGAAGTTATTTACTCATTGTCTTCTTACTCTTCTTTTCACCTACCTACAGGCAGGTGACGTTTTTATCTTTTAAAAACATAGCAGATTTTTCAGAGACAGCTTTAGATGTGTTTATCAGAAGAGATCTTCAGAAATCTGAAACTAACTATGTCTTAGCCAGATATATGAGGTATTTTGTTTTTGTCAAAGAAATTGCTACTATTACTCAGATAAGCTACCCTGAAAGCAAATGAGACTCAAATCAAATAGCCCTGTATGGGGTACACGGAAAGAAAGGACTACAAATAGAGAATGTCCCTATTTAGATACTGAAATTATATCAAGGAATATTCTATTGGGAGCCCCTTATATTGACTGGTCCCCACCCAGTTTTGAGAGGACAGGTGGAATTGAGTCTCTACACGCTCCTTCTCGCAAGGTCTTCCAGGGAGAGGGTAGGCATTTAAATGTTTTATGGGATACAATCTCCCAGTAAGACATGAATGAAATGAAAGATGCAACCATGCACTTAACCCCAGCTTCCTTGTGGTTAAGAGTACAGTTAGAGTTGCGTGCATATCTGTTATCATTCTTTGAGATATGAAAGATGCACTGCAATAAATACAGCAGCTGTCACAACCATGCTCACATCGACTTCCTAATTACAACAAACATATCATTATAACAGCGGTTGAAGCACATTCCAGGGTGGGCAACTTCTGCAGAAATGCTCCACCAAAAACTGCTTACTGATTGACTGTGATTAAGAAGTCAGGGTTCTTTGAAGATTGAAGAAGTCAGAGTTCTTTGAGGATTGCAGAAAATGTTATTACCATATACTATATTTTCAGCTTACACCCCACAGAAGATGGGAGAGCTAAATATTAATTTGTGAGGTCTTTTAGGGGTTCAAAAAGGAACTGTTTTTAAGACTTTCCTAAAATAGAACTGTTTTAATGGGTTCTAATTTCCTCCTCCAATTCAGTATCACATATGAAACCATCACAATATGAAACAAATTATTTGGGATATGCAGTGATTAAAATAAATCTATGCAGAAGGCCCTGAACACATTCACTTAGCAAAGTAAAAATCCAGAAAGCAAGACAGTTTCAGAAACTGAGACTGAGGAGTAAATGGCTGTTTCCTATACTAGGAAGTCACAGTTCAGAAAAGCCACAAGTTTCATTTTAATCCATATATGGGCCAGAAAACTTATCCAAGCAAGGTTGATGATCTTTCAAAACCCCAGAGGGGATACATGGCCTTTCTGCTCATGACAGCTGTCATATACATCCTGTCAATAACAAGCACAACCAAACACAGCTTTAAAATGAGTTTTATTTGCAGTAATAGGAGAGAGAAAGAATCACTGGAGGTAAAATGACATTTCTATTGAAAAACATTTCTCTGAAGTGAAATTAAAGAGTTTTACTAATTTAAGAAATACCTCTCTATGATGAAATACATTTAGATTCAATTAGAGGGAGAATAACAAACATTCTCCCTAGTACTAAAAAGATTCTATTACCAACCAGAAATGAATAGTGGTTTGAAAAGCTACGTTTAGGGTGTCTTCATGACGTCCACAGTAATTTGTATTCATCTGTGAACAGTGGAGCCATGGTAGAATATGGTAGCAATGAACAGAGATGAAAATAGATGATCTGAAAGTCACTGAGAAAAAGCTCTTTAAGTACACATCTATCTCACTACTGTATACATCAGCAGGGAGACCATTATTCAAAGAAAACTCCAAACTGGTTAGAGGGCTGACTTCCAAGGCAGTTGTGTGAACAGCTCCACGCAGGCACAGTAGTCAGCAGTGGGTTATCTATATCAGCCAGGAGATTGCAAATCTTCCATGATGCTCCATGGTTACTCCAGTTTACTCAGCCTTTAAAATCTGGCTGAGTTACTAAACACTCAACTTGAGTCATGGTGCATTTTACAACTGGTTAGTGATAGTAGTGACCCCAAGATGAACCCTCTATTTAAGATATTTATTCTTTATTTTTGCTTTCTGAATATCTGTTAAATATTTTCTTTTGGAGCAATTTTTTTACTGGGGGGTGGGGAGTGCAGAGGAAAAGTATTAAATGACAATTGCAGGAGGAAGTTTAACCACTTACACTGAAGTGTCTAATTCCACAAAATGGCACACCTCTGAAAGCAGCTCCTTTCATGAGTAGCCAAAGATGAAGCATGCCCTTCACAATGACCTGTGCTACTTAAGAGATACTCAGGGGTGGTTTGGGAACACAGGCTGGTGCTATGTCACTTTTACTGGCTTATTGTTCAGGAGTGAAGTCATGGTATTTTTTCTACTGGTAAACGTGAGTTTTCTAGTTAAGTGTCTTGAAATCTAGTTACTGAGAAAATGCTCTGCATAATGGACTTAATGACCCAAAACTGAAATAGCAGGGATCTGGAATGAGGTGTGTCAGGAGAGCTGTGCTGTTTGTTTGGGCAGAGCTACACAGGCATTCTGCGTCATCCTTGCTGCTATTAATAAACGTGCAGTCTTCCTGAGTAGCTAAATTAAAATGAATCTTACATGATTAAAAGTACCAAAAATGGAAAGGAACCTTGAACCATCTCTGCCCTAGTAGACCTGATAATTAATAGACTATATGTCCGGGATAGAAAATGACTGCCTGGTGATAGGTATGATTTATAATTGTCGTTCCCTAACTACAACCTTCGGTTGATTCAAGCAATTTTCTCACTGCCCTCTGCACATCAAATAACTCTTTTTGTTCCTGTGGCTCATGCTATTTTTTTCTCTTGATGTCGTGTTCCTTTCTGTTATGTTCCTAAATCGCATCCCTCCATGAAAATCTGTAAAAGGCTTCTCAAAAACTCTTCTCCATTTGTGTCTCTGTTTGCTGAATTCTGACTACATTTCTGGTCAGTTGCATAATTTAGTACACAGTGTTCTGCACATGTGTTAGTTTAGCTCTTCTCTCTTCTTGAATGCCAAGTACCCCAACCCCTTTTATATTGCCGACCACACAGTAACATGTCTTTTGCTTCAATCCCAGTCAAACCAGTGGTGAAACTGCCACTGCAAAATTATAACAGAAAATTATTGCAGTGAAAGAGATCTGACCTAACCAACTTCACCTTGCTCCTAGGCCACCTCCAAGCTGTCCTTGTTCATTCCTGTGTATAGGCACTTTGGGAGGAACTTAGCTTATATTATAATTTAACTTTGAAACAATCCCCCTTCCTGCCTGGAGACTACACTGCCTTTGTAGGACTAACAAATCAGCCACAACATTAGAAATTATGGTTTGGAAGTCTTGAAGCTGGAGGCTGCAAGATTCTGACACTCTCCAAATTGCTCCTGGGGGTAACATCACTATTGTAAATCCTAAAATCAGTGCTTGAGATATTCTGCATACCCTGTGCATGAATCAGTAGGCACCACCCTGATGAATAACTGGCTCATCTATCTTGTAGCCCCAGCCCAGGCTGACTCAGTGCAAGAAGACAGCTTAGACTCCCTAAGACTTCATCTCCAATGCAACCTGTCAGCACTTCCAATCATTAGCCCCTCCCCACCAAATTATCCTATAAAACAATGATCTGTGAATTCTTGGGGAGACTGGTTTGAGTAATAATAATACTCTGGTCTCCAGCACAGCTGGCTCTGCATGTATAACTCTTTATTGCAGTTCTCCTGTCTTGATAAATCGGCTCTGTCTAGGCAGCGGGCAAGGTGAACCCACTGGGTAGTTACAGTAGCTTGGGTTCATTTTCCAGACACTTGATAATAGAATTTTCAATTGATACTGATCTTTTGGAAAGCCCAAACTTTCATGACACCAAAAGAAAATTATTAAAACAAAGGCTGACCTGAAATGCACAAGGGGTATTGTCCACACAGTAAACTCTCAAGTTGTAATCCAGGGAGTTACAGGACATGCAGCCAAAAACCGCCACCTTCAGTTGCTTCACAGCACAGTCTGTTATTGGCTCTCCCGTGAGTGCATATGTCCCAAAGCTGTCTAGGAGCACGTGACACGCAAAGGGGTCCAAAAGGCAGTAACAGGAAGTGGATTCATCCTCCACTGACATCACTTCCTGTTGGGAAAGGTATATTTATTCTTTCATTTGGAAATAAGATGTGATTTAACCATTATATTGCCAGATCACAAATAAATAAACACACAAATATAAACATTTTTTTTCAGAATATTCCTATTGTCCCAATTTTCCTGATGTTAACCATTCCTCTTCTATCAAAATAACTGCTGATACCAAGAACTCAAGAAATGGGCCCAGCACAGTAGCTCACACCTGTAATTGTAGCACTTTGGGAGGCTGAGGCAGGCAGATCATCTGAGGTCAGGAGTTCAAGACCAGCTTGACTAAAATGATGAAACTCTGTCTCTACTAACAAAAATTAGCCGGGTATGGTAGCACAGGCCTGTAATCCCAGCTATGTGAGGGACTGAGGCAGGAGAATTGCTTGAACCTGGAAGGCAGAGGTTGCAGTGAGCTGAGATTGCACCACTCCACCTCAGCCTGGGTGATGGAAGGAAACTCTGTTTCAAAAAAAAAAAAAAACCTCAAGAAATGGTTATGTTCAGTGTGTTGGAATTTCTACTTCATTGGCCGTAATAACAAAAATTACTTTGAAAGTTATATTTCTGGCTTATGCAATGTTGAGTTTTAAAAAATCTTAAACCTTATCATCAATGATCAAACTCCTTTTTTTTTTTTACAAACATCTATTTCTTACAACTCTTTAAATATCCTTAAGGTAATATTTATGTTCCCTCAAATATTTTATCCCTTTTCATCCCACTGAAATCATTTATAAGTGACAACTAGATACGTGAACTAGATAAGATGTACTAGAATATTTCACCCTCCCTGATAAGAACTTTAGTATGTGTGACTAGTTTAACTATAATATCACCTGTGTATGAGATAACTATAATATCACCTGTGTATAAGAGATTGTGAGGAAGTGCTGAGAAGAAAAACTAAAGTGGCAAAAATCAAAGCAATGCCAAACATAATGGGAAGGGGACTAAAACATGGCCCTTAAATAAACCGATAGAATTTCATGTCCCAGGAAATCCACTTGTGGTTGCACTAGGACTCACTAAATAGCAAAATGCATTCCAGAATAAAGAAAATAGTTTCAAGACACCAGTTGGCAGGGTAAACGTAATCCATTGCAGCAACTGGGAATTTTCTTCTCCTAAATAAACATGATTTTTGGCTGGGTGCGGTGGCTCACGCCTATAACCCCAGCACTTTGGGAGGCCGAAGCAGGTGGATCACGAGGTCAAGAGATTGAGACCATCCTGGTCAACATGGTGAAACCCCGTCTCTACTAAAAATATTTAAAAAATTAGCTGGGCATGATGGTACACTCCTGTAGTCCCAGCTACTCAGGAGGCTGAGGCAGGAGAATTGCTTGAACCCAGGAGGCGGAGGTTGTGGTGAGCCGAGATCGCGCCACTGCACTCCAGCCTGGGTAACTCCATCTCAAAAAAAAAAAAAAAGAAACGAAACATGATTTTCCTTTTACGTCTTTGGCCTGAAGTACCTCCTGGGAGGCAGGACCCCACGACTGTCTGGAACAGGTCACTATGTTCCAACAAGATAATTCTGCTTTCATACAAACTGACTTCAGATGGACACGAGGAAGCACTATCAGGCAGATAAATCAGAGCTTTCACTTAAAATAGTAATTCAACTGCAATCTGTCTTTGCTGTGACTGTCTCCCTTGTTGTTCATGTGTTACTATGTATCCTCATTCTCTTTCTGTGTCTCATACGTATCCCTTCTGTAAGCATTCATACACACAAGGAAAGAGACACTGATGATAATTTTCAATGCATTTGTTAACTAAAAAAATACAGTAAGCACTAAATGTGTTCCTGATTAAACATAGATACCTTCTAATCCCCAGGATAGAAAAAAAAATAGATATAGTTATTTGCTTTCTGAACACAGACTGCCTGCCCTGAACCTCCTCCTCAACTCCATAGAGGCCACAGAATAATGTCCATTCAGATAGGGACAAGGCGAAGGAATAAATGAAGGGGGTTAATGAGCAGTTACATAAGTGGAGATGATTATGTGGGTAATTACAACTATATTCTAAAGCCAAACAAGAAAGCTTTGCATTATCTCTTGCTTCTCTTTTCTGTTATCATGGAAAACAAAATAAAATAAAACTAATCAATGTGTTTAGGATATTATAAAACACTTGCCACCAACCCTTTGCCAAACAAAGAAATGCTGATTTCTTTGTTCTAATGTTGAAGTTAAATCTATTCCATAGGTGGAAGCGAATCCCATTGTTTAAAAAAGGAAGTAAAGGGTCTCACCTCCCATTTGCCCTGCTGTGTCCTCTTCTTTAAATGGATATTCCAGTGCTCAGAACTGACATCTGCACAGTGTGGGATAGTCAATGCAAAGGGAGTGGTGACGATCATGTCTGGAGGACCACAGGTGACTTCAGGACTCAGGAGCACCTCAGAGCCATCTGACTGGATGCTTCACAGTAGAAAAAAGGATAAAAGAGAGAAGTAGGTAGAGGAGGGAGCATATTTGAATGAGAATTTGGTTAACAGATTGGGGTTTTCTTCAGGCTTCTAAGTATTCCTTTCCAGGATTTTCTTTTACAAAGGACTGGTCTGGAGAAACAGGCATTTGTCCTGAACTTCTCAGACACATGGAGGGAGTTCACATCTATATTTCAAATCTAGGTTTTGACAAACCAATTAACACAATGACAAGTGCTTCTTTGGAAATATGGGGCAGAACTGGAGAATGCAAAGACCTGGATGGTGGGTCACGTACCAGCTACCAAATCTTTATTCTTGTTGATGCCATTACCAATGAGCAAACAAAAACTTTACAGAAATGACTGATCTGGTAATCTTGTTACCATCAAATTCCTTTCACCCAAACACAATCTAAAATATGTTTAATGTTGGTAAATTATAAAACAAATTATTATGAAGCAAAACATTATTCTGAATACAAAGAATGAGTGTCTCTATTCTTGCTTTGAAAACATTTTTTGCCAATGCACAAATACATAGTTATAAAGTGATAGCACAGTAGACAGCTACAAATGTGGATAATATAATACATAAATATGTATCTTCCAACTATTTTCTGTTTTAGATCTAAATTTTAAATGATTGCATCCAAACCTGGTGTTCAGATTTTCTGAATTGTGAATTATTTACAGAGAGAATGCAGAGTCATGGAACAGATAAAAAAAAAAGCAAAAGTTAACTAAAATGGAATAATAATACCTAACTGAATGCCTCCCTCTTTCATTTCTTTGGCTTTTGTTTTTAATCTGTGCCCCAAACAGTAAGGAGGAATAGTTTACAGAACAGTCATCAGTGAGAAAAACCCAGAAGTCTGCTTCTTTTTTTCCCTAATGGCATATGTGTTCTTCAACAAGCTGTTTGGTCCTTTTTTGTTTGCTGTATTTTCACTTGTAAGAAAGGTAATAATATTGAATATAGAGCAATGCTAGAGGGAGAGCTGGCATTGGTATTATGACCAAAGCTTTTACTTATACTACCTAAGAAGGACTTTTACATTTGTCATCCTTGACCAAAAAAGCAACCCCTTGGGCAAAATAAAGATAAAATTTAGTGCTAAAATATGCCACCTTTCCCATGATCCTATATAAACAGAGTTTTTCACTGAGTTCATCTAACGTGCTATTCATTTGTGAATTGCTTATGTTGACATCTCCTATTCTCTCAAGTTAGTAATGGTTATACTTGAACTCATTATCATTTGCTGCTGCAATGAAGCCAAGCCATATAATTGAGAAGCATCTTATGTCTACTGCGTCTAAAACAGTAGATGTAATATTATCACACTGTCTCCTCTCCTCTCCAAGAAGCCCTGGAGATGCTTTTAAAAAGTTCAGTCTTCCGCAAAGGTAACCACAGTCCAAAATGGACAATACTTCCTATACGGACAAAACATGGTTAAGATGATTATGTCTTAATTTACCCTTAAGTACGGCACTTGAGGAGAGGGGGACTGGAAAGCAATATATTAGCAACAGCAAACACTCTATAGAAAGCCTAGAATAATATACTCGAGGTTTGAAAAAAAATATAAAATTCCAATGTGCAGCCTGTATGTGGGTGCCTGCCAGCGGCCATCAGCGAGGGTGAAGTACTTTCCATGTAATTACCGCCTGCATTCATCATGGACAGGAATAGCAGGGATGCTTATGAGTGACCGATGACAAGCTCTCCTGAAAGAACTATTTAATTGCTTTCAGAGAATCATCCCCCTTGTTGAACATATTGTTCAAACATATGGGAATTTGGGGAATTATTTAAGGCCAAATGAACTGAAATCAGCTAATTAGATGAACTCTCACACTCGTTGTGAATAGCAAGACTCCTTTCACAGTGGTAACCTAAACAGCTTTAGGAGTCAGAGGCAGCACATACTGAATATGAGCCAGGGCATCGAATATGAGCTTTGCCTTAAATAGGCTTTGGGCATTTCCTTAAGTGCAAAGTAAGTAAATCAAGATTTATATTTAATTCTCCTCCTCTGAAAATAGTGTCCATGGGTGTAGGTGTCTGGTGAAGGAAGTTCACCAGAACTTCACAAAAATCTCTCCATTTTTTTCTCCCCATGATTAATAACAACACATCCTTTTCTGCTAGCTCCTATCTGTGACAAAAAGGGAGATTTACAAATATTAATTAAAGCTCTTCACACACCTGTGGAGGCAGGTGTTAACAGCATAAGGTCACAGAGGAGTCAATCAAGGTGATGGCAGGAAAATCACCCAAAATTTCTCACTCACAGGCTCTCGCTCTCTGTGACCAGATTGTAGTTTTCTGTTACCATTAGGAGATTTCTGGCCAAATTGCTGGATCTTACGATATTCCAAGGAAAGATCAGGGAAGGAGATGCAATATAGTCCAAGTGTAATCATGGATAAAGATTCAGGACATTTGAGGACAGAGGGCTGGGGAGAGAAACCTTTAATTGGATGTGGTCAAAAATGAACCTTCTTCTTAAAGCATAGATGGCATTTAAGCTTTCCCATATTTCGTAATCCACAACAAGGCAGTATACATGTCCTTGCTAGAAAAAAAAAAGTAACACATTTTTCTAAAATTGCTGTGAGCTAATAACCATGAACTAGTAACAGCAGTGATTTTAAGATAAAAATACCAACCACCTCGATGTATCACACACCCTAGTAAGGTCTGTAGACTGAAAAACCTTTTTGCATAGAGCTTTTGCTATGTAATGTTGTTCATTGTTCTCTATCTGTACATACATATTCACATATACATACACGCATATATATTTGTAGTTTTTTTTAATTGCATTTTAGCTTTTGGGGTACATGTGACGAACATGCAAGACTGTTGCATAGGTACACATGTGGCAGTGTGATTTGCTGCCTTCCTCCCCGTCACCTATATCTGGCATTTCTCCCCATGCTATCTCTCCCCAACTCCCCACCCCCTGCTGTCCCTCCCCTATTTCCCCCAACAGACCTCTGTGTGTAGTGCTCCCCTCCCTGTGTCCATGTGTTCTCATTGTTCAAAACCCGCCTATGAGTGAGAACATGCGGTGTTTGATTTTCTGCTCTTGTGTCAGTTTGCTGAGAATGATGGTTTCCAGGTTCATCCATGTCCCTACAAAGGACACAAACTCACCGTTTTTGATGGCTGCATAATATTCCATAGTGTATATGTGCCACATTTTCCCTGTCCAGTCTATCATCGATGGGTGTTTGGGTTGGTTCCAGGTCTTTGCTATTGTAAACTGTGCTGCAATGAACATTCATGTGCATGTGTCCTTATAGTAGAACAATTTATAATCCTTTGGATATATACCCAGTAATGGGATTGCTGGGTCATATTTGTAGTTTAAATGCTGTGTATAGATACAAAAAGTTTAGTAATTTAATAGATGGGTCTTATTTCTATAGGAACTCCTCTTTCTGAGATGACTAATTCATGCAATTGTCATTGCATCAATGTACACTTTGACTTAAATTATCAGTGACTTAGGAATGTGCACGATGGGCATTTAAGGCTCCTTGGAAATGATGCTGGTCTCCTTGCTTTTATCCTGGCCTTTCACAGGCTGTCCTCCATGCAGCCACCTCAGTCATCCCACTAAAAATGCCAGTGTCTTCTCACCTCATGGGACTGCTATAATTCCTCCTCCTCTGGGGTGCTGGGTGCTGCCTGGAAGAGTTTTCCCCTAGACGTCCACATGATTTACTCCCCCTGTGCCTGTCAGGTCCTTGCTTAACTGACATCTACTAATGAGGCTTTCTCTGACCAGGACTTGGTAATCAAAACATTCCCAATACTAAAAGCAGATCTTGGCTTTACTTTTCCTCCTTAACACTTAATGCCCTCTAGTGTGCCACACCATTTGCCTATTTATTGTTATTTTTTCTCTGCGTAATTTCCTTGAAGCCAGGGTGCTTTTCTTTGCTTTTTTTTTTTTTTTTTTTTTTTTTTTTTTGAGACAGTGTTTCACTCTTGTCACCCTGGCTGAAGTGCAGTGGCACCATCTTTGCTCACTGCAGCCTCCATATCCTAGGTTCAAGTGGTTCTCCTGCCTCAGCCTCCTGAGTAGCTGTGATTATAGGGATTTTTTTTTTCTGATTAGCTCATAATTGCATCCCCAGTGCCTGATATATCCTGTAAGCACTCAAAAGTACTTGTTGAAAAGGACACAGAAGCCAGCTTGAAGAGATTCTCACTGATCAAATCTGGAACCCTTTGAGCATTAGATTAAATTATGACAGTAAAGAATTATAACTCATTGAGCAATACTATAAGAATCCACAAAATAAAAATTCACGTAGAAATGAATCAAGAAGGAAAAACTCTTCCACATAAGAGAAAACCAACTAATAAATGTAGAAAACCATCAATTACCTATCAACTAAATGAATACTTGGTTCAGTTGAGAATCATAAATTGATGTTAACCTATTGGGTGAAAGTTTACACAGTAATAAAGAACCATTTACACATCCTCAAAGTATCTTCCCGCAAGGTACTTAACTAATTACCAAGGGTAAAATAGTACTCCCAGCAGACACCACCTAGCATGAATTACCAAGTTAAGATTCCCAGGAATGGGATGGATCCACAGAATACACCTTCCTGACGACACAGTGAAGAGAACCTAGCATCACTTCTGTGACATTCATGCTAAAAGTCCACAGCCTGAATCTCCTCATAAGCAAACATTAGACAAGCTCAGAGAAAGGCATAGTCTCCAAAATAACTCATCTGCACTCTTTAAAGCTGTCAATGTCATGAAATACAAAGTCTCAGGAATGGTTCCAGAAGAAAGCACACCAGAGGCACAGGACAATGGCATGCAACAAGGGGACTTGGACTTTAATTTGCTCTCAAGAACATTATTCAGAAAACAAATAAAATACAAATCAGGTGTTTAGAGTAGTAAGAGTATTTTAATAATGTTAATGTCCCCTGTTAATTGGGCTATGGT